CTCACTCCAAGACCAACTACAACCTGTATTTCCCTTCTCCTGGTCCTCCCACTTCATCCCATTTCAAACTTACAGCAAACCTGAAAAACCTATATAGCACGAGTTACTCGCCCATGCTTTCCCACCTCACTTCTCTTATGAATGAATGGTTACCATTGCCCATTTCCTGGTTAGGTTGTATTACAACCATTATAATGACTGTCCTATCAAAAATACTTTACCTCTTTTGGGTTCTCCCCTCCCAGTTCCTGCTTATTTCCTCCGCATCTTGTGTTGAGTTTTTTTCCTATGTCTGGAATAAGTTTAAACCCCGTCTTCCTAAGAATACACTTTTCACCCATAAACTAAAAGGTGACCTGGGTTTAGACCTTCCAAGCTTATCATGCGGCTCACGTGGCTCAGCTCCCCAAATATCACGCCACTAAAGGAACCCCCCCATCGGAGTCACTGGAATCCATTGACTGTGACCCTCTTTCAGTGGCTATCTTTTTATAGTTACACACCTATCCCAACGTCACAACCTTCTCAATCCGATCACTCACCACTACCTAGCTATTTTGGGACAGACTCAAGACACATTACCTTTTTCAGTTCCCTCCCAACCCTATGCTAACCCTGATTTCTGCCCAGCTTGGTCCTCCCCCTTCCTCCCATTTGTTGCCAGGTCTTCCGCTGACCTACTCCAGGTACACAACCTACTGTCAGGAATGGACTTGCCAATAGTGGTGGGACTCACGATGCCTTGTGGGCTGCAGTACCAGGGCTGGCCAGGCTAGGTGCTCTCAACAACCAGAGGTTCACTTTGGCAATTAGCCATCACCTGGGGCTGATTGCAGGTGGTGTATTTAAGGGATGGCCAGACCTGCAGTCGGTGCCTTGGTGGTGTTTTTCCATGGGCCCCTGTACCTTGTAACCTGCATTCCTGTTCCTGTTTCTGTTTCTGCCTGACTTGTTGCCGACCCTGCAAGCTGATCCTGACCTCTGCTGACTTCTCCTGTTTGATCCCTGGCTTGTGACCCTGACCATTCTCTCCGCCTGCTCCTCGTGTACCTACCTGCCCGATAGTTATCGACACGGCCTGCCTGACTACATTGTGCTCTATATGTGTATGTACCTGTGTATCTATACCAGTTTAGGTTTGGGTTTGTTTCACCTTGTTGTATGTATTTGTGTTAGCTTGGGGTTTGGTGCACTGCGTTTATTTTGTATTGTCAGTCTTAATAAATTGTCTTATTTATACCATATCTGAAGCCTGCGTTTCCCTGTGTCCTCCACACATCTCTGGTCACACCCGCATCCCTGACACCCTACTATCTTCATCCAAAATAACATTGTTTCAGTCCCTCCAAGACACCCATGGCCTCCCCGCCTCAGAACTCTTTCACTACTTACAGATAAAACACTTCCTTTCTTTTGTACTTTCCTCCCCTTTTTTTTTTTTCTTGAAAGAACCTGTAAAACAGTCCCACATAGATGAGGCTTTATCTCTCATCTGTAAAGTCAACTCCTTGAACTAACACATTCTACTTCACATCCCTAGGTCACTAAGTGGGAGAGAGACCCTGGCCTCACTCTAGACCCGGTCTCCTGGTCCACCATTTGGGCATCTACCAAGTCATCCTCGCAAAACGTAGTGGCCATAGAGACCAATTACACGGTCCTTACTAGATGGTACTTGGTCCCTGCTAGTATCTTTCAATTCCTACCCCACTACTCTCCTCTTTGTTTGAGAGGTTGCAACTCCTCGGGATCCCTCATACATATCTGGTGGGATTCCCTGTGGTACATACCTTTTTGGGCTGAAATATTTCAAGTCCTCTCAAAGCTGTTTGATACTCCTATCTCACCAGATCCAGCAGAAACCCTTGAACATTTCCTACAGACAGTTCAAATTAATTCTTCAAATTACCACAGCAGCCAAACAGACTATTGCAAAGGCATGGAAAACCCCCTCAATCAGCACACTGGCTACTCGCAACTGTGTCATGTAAGCCATGATTTCATGCCAAAATTGAAGCCACTGTGCCAGACAGAATACCTAAATTTGAAGCCTTGTGGAACCCTTGGATAATCCACCTCTTACCCCCTAACTTTGATTGTACTTTACGTCCATAGCCCCCCATAATCTAACTGATAAGATATCGACCAAACCTTCTCTTGTTTGACCTAGCCTACCCTGGGGATGGCCTTTCTCCTCTTACTCCCCACCGCCCCTCCATATTTCCTTCATATAACAGATCTTTTTTTTTTTTTTCCCCTTCTTTCTCTTTCCCTTCCTTTTTTCTTCTTTCTTGCCCTTTTCTACAATCGACCCCCTCCTGGCCACTCTCCCCTGGCATGTCCTTCAGCTCAATTGTGGTGCCTTACCATAGCCAGAGTACACACTATGACCCAGGCCATCTCTACTTTCTCCTTGACCCATCCCAAGCACAAGTGACCTCTCATTGCCACTGCCCTGGATTTGTAACATGTAAGGTCCTGCTAGATGCTTCTATGCAGTTATTCCTGATTGGACATAAGATGATATACCGAGCTTCCAGCGAACGGGACGCATGTTACACTATTTTAGCTTGTAATGGTTTGTTACTGTTTGACTTGAGCTCAACCAGCTTGTCGGTTGTCTTGTTGTACCTGTTGTATCAGCTTATCTTTTCTGCTGTAACTACCTAAGTGGCTTATACAACTTTGCTGATGACTTGTTCAGGCCACCATGTTTTTTTTATAATAAAATTTTTGAACAAGAAAATGAATTGACTTTCAAATTTCACCTCCAATTGGCTACAATTGGATATGTATTTTAGTCTGCATTGTTGGGTTTTTAGATGCACTTGCCGAATGTACCTGCAAATCTGAACCCGAGTATCTTCACCCATCACAATGCAGCAGAATGCTCTGAATGAGAACAAAGAATGAGATTCTGCTGCAGAATATTGTATTTTACCAGCCAATGGGAATATTCTAGTGTTCTCCATAAAATACAAACCTTTAGATATGTACAATGTTGTAATATACTTCCTGTATATTAGATTCATTTAAAGGGTTAACTCCCTTTTTACCAGGCCAATTTTCAGCTTTCAGTGCAAATGCAAAACTTTGACACACAATTGCTGCACATGCAACATTGTAAGTATATGAAATTATTAAATGATTTTTTTTTGTTCACAAATAGAAGCTTGTAATTTTCTGTAAAATTCAATCGCCACTGGGGCTTTACTTTTTGCGCTATAAATAAAAAAAGCTGCAAAAAATTTGAAAAAAAAAAAAAAAAGTTTCATTTGTTTCTTTTGTAAAATTTTTCAAACAGGTATTTTTTCCCTCTGCACTTAACTGCAAATTGTAGGCATCACTGATGTACACTGATAGGCGGCACTGATGGGCACTGATAGGCAGCACTAAAGGGCACTGATAGGCACTTCTAAAGGGTGGCAGGACTTTCCACTGATAGACAGCACTAATCAGGGGTCAACGGATAGGCGGCACTAATATGCAGCACTGATAGGCGGCACTGATAGGTGACACTGATGATGGGTACTGATAGACGGCACTGACTGGCATCACTGCTGGGCACTGACTGGCGGCACTGACTGGCACAACCCCTGGGCACTGACTGGTGGCACTGACTGGCAGCACTGCTGGGCTGCACTGGTGGGTGGCACTGGTGGGCAGCACTGGTGGGTGGGCACAGGTGGGTACACTGGTGGGCACTCAGGTGGGTGGGCACAGGTGCAGTTACTCTTTGGGCACATGTAGGTGGCACTTCTGGACACAGGTAGGTGGCACTATAGTGGCCACAGGTGGGTGCACTGCTGGGCACAGCTGGGTGCACTGATGGGCACTGGTGGGCGGAGGGTGGGCGCACTGCTGGGCGGAACTTGCGGGTGGCAACTGGGCACCGATCATCAGGGCACTGATCATCAGGGGATAGATCTGACAACTGCCGGTTCTCGAGCAGTACTTTCCTCACGATCTGACAGCGTGGAGGAAATGTGCAGCCGAAGAGTGGAACCGGCACTTGCATTTCCTTCTGATCAGCGTGTCATTGGACATCGCTGATCAGGTGGGTAAAAGGCCGCTGTGATTGGCCTTTTACCACATCACGTGATCAGCTGTGTCCATAGGACACAGCGATCACGGAGATCGCCGGGATGGCGCCCAGGAGAGACGTTCTGGAGGACGTCATTGACGTCCACTCATGGGCTGAGCGGACCAGTGAGCCGTCATTAGGCTATCTGCTGTCGAAGAGCTGAATTTAAAGGGTAACTCCACTTTCATGGAGAAAAGTGACAAATAAAAAAATAACACACAATTGCTATACAATCCATATTGTAAGTGAAGTGTTATTAAAAATGATTTTTCCTGTTCAATCTGCAGCGCTGTAATTTTCTGTAAAATTGAATGCAAATGGCAACCTGGAGGGTTCTATGAACAGCTGGTGTACTGAACACCCCCCAGAAATGGAGCCTGCTGCTGTGATGGGTCACTGATTTTCCCAGAAGTATGCACTAAAAAAGCTCACATTTTGGGCATTCTTTTGTACGATTGTATTTCACTGGTGTGATACAGCGCCAAGGGTTAATCACTTCTAAAGGGATGCAGACTTTCCTCTATTAGAACACTGCAGGGGCATCAACTAAATAATCATGAAAACGTCACCTCCATTCACATCCACTTTACACATTGACAAACAAATTGCTTTTTCTTCAGCGCATCAACAGGTTGGAATCTACAACAAAGTTTGGTAAAATCCCAGCAATTGTACATTGATCAAGGAGATTATTTTCTCAGCAAAAACGCCAGTTACTCTTTAAAATGAGAGTTAAAATAGGAAGTAACTTTATTTAGCCCTTTTATACAGAATTCTGACTTGTATTTATCTTTTTCTATACAGGTGGATTGAGGAACCAAGTTTTTGGTCAAGTTGCTCTTTATAAGTACAACTGATCTACGTGGGAAATGAGCCATATGGGAGTCTTAGGTGACTGAAAGTCTTTATTGCAGTTCACTGGAGGATTCACACAGGACACAAGACATATCAGTGCTCTTATTGTTTGGGATCCTCTTCAACATTGATCCATCCTCAGAGGACAACAGGAGAGAAGTCATTTCAGTATTCTGGAAGTGAAAAGTCCAACCCCTGTACACATAAGAGGAGTCATTTTAAAAGTTGTTTCTTCTTTGGAAAGTGACAGGTTTTACAATGAAGGCAAAACGTATCACACAGCAGGAGACGGACACTGGTGAGAAACCATTTCAGTGTTCTGAATGTGACAAACCTTTTACATCAAAGAGTAATCTTATAAAACACAAGAAGATTCACACTGGAGAGAAGCCATATCAGTGTTCTGAATGTGACAAAGCATTTATAGTGAAGGCAGATCTTATCAGACACCAGAGGGGCCACACTGGAGAGAAGCCATATCAGTGTTCTGAATGTGACAAAGCTTTTCAACACAAGGAAGGTCTTAAAATACACAAGATGATTCACACTGAAGAGAAACCTTTTCAGTGCTCTAAATGTGACAAAGCTTTTCTACGGAAGACACAGCTAATCAAACACCAGTGGGTTCATACTGGAAAGAAGCCATATCAGTGTTCTGAATGCAGCAAAGCTTTTACATCGAAGTCAGGTCTTATCACACACCAGAAGATTCACACTGGAGAGAAGCCATATCAGTGCTCTGAATGTGATAAATCTTTTGCACAGAAAGCTAATCTTATCTCACACCAAAAGATTCACACTGGGGAGAAGCTGTATCAGTGTTCTGAATGTGATAAAGCTTTTGCACATAAGGAAAGCCTAATATCACACCAGAGGATTCACACTGGAGAGAAGCTGTATGGGTGTTCTGAATGCGGCAAAGCTTTTGCAAACAAACAACAGCTTTTCTCACACCAGAAGGTTCACACTGGAGAGAAGCCATATCCATGTTCTGAATGTGGCAAAGCTTTCCCATTGAAGCCAAGTCTTATCAGACACCAGAGAATTCACACTGGAGAGAAGCCATATCAATGTTCGGAATGTGGCAAAGCTTAGACATATTGAAAGCCTTACTGTACACCAGAAAGTCCACACAGGAGAGAAGCCATACCAGTGTTCTGAATGTAACATAACTTTTGCATTGAACTCAGAGCTTATCATTCACCAGATACGTCACACTGGAGAGAAGCCATATCAATGTTCTGAATGTGATAAAGCTTTTACACATAAGTCACAGCTTTTCAGACACCAGAAAAGTCACACTGGAGAGAAACCATTTCAGTGTTCAGAATGTGACAAAGCTTTTGCAGTGAAGTCAAGGCTTATCATACACGAGATGATTCACACTGGAGAGAAGCCATATCAGTGTTCTGAATGTGACAATGCTTTTACTGTCAAGAAGGCGTTTATCAGACACCAGAGGATTCATGCTGGAGAGAAGCCATATCAATGCTCTGAGTGTGACAAAGCTTTTACAATGCGGCCAGAGTTTATCAGACACAAGATGGTCCACACTGGAGAGAAGCCATATCAATGTTCTGAGTGTGGCAAAGATTTTTCACGTAAGGAAAGCCTAATCAGACACCAGACAGTCCATTCTGGAGAGAAGCCATTTCAATGCTCAGAATGTGATAAAGCTTTTAAGCATAAGGAAAGCCTTGTTATACACCAGAAGGATCACAAGGGAGAGAAGCCATATCAGTGTTCAGAATGTGACAAAGCTTTTATAGTAAAAAAAGATCTTATCAAACATCAGAGAGTCCACACTGGAGAGAAGCCGTATGAGTGTTCTGAATGTGATAAAGCTTTTACACAGAAGATAGGTCTTATCAGACACCAGAGGGTCCACACTGGAGAGAAGTCATATCAGTGTTCAGAATGAGATAAAGCTTTTATGATTAATTCCAGGCCAATCAAACACTGGAGGATTCACAAGCTTCAGCTGCAGTAAGACAATTCTGGTAGAAGGGGGAATGTTACATGGATAACAGCTAAGCCACAATGAAAGTGTTGCATGTGTCTCCTCACTTTCACACCTCATGTCATCCCACAAATGAGTGAAAAGTATAATGCTGCTTTGTAAACTAAAAACTACAAGCAAACAAGAATGTAATGGATGAATTCCTTGATATTAGTGCGTATCTCCATCTTCACACACCAACATTTTACCTTTAATCATTTTTTCAGGGAAGCATCAATGACTGAACTGTTTCCTCACGATTCTCATCTTACTCGGCTCTTGTTTATGGAGGTTTAATGGAAAACATAAAGCATTCTCATCCTTTACTAAGTGAGCTGTGTTCCCAAGAAGTCTTTGTTCAGTGAGAAAGCAACTTCCTAAGCTGGTATAAGCCTTCCAACAGTGAGTTGCTGCAGTTTTTTGGGATGAGCTTGACAGTACCACTTAAACCCAGCTGGTCCCATGTGTGTTCCATCCAGTTTTGTGACAAGTCTAAGGGATCCTATCAGGTGAAGATTGGGATGTCCTTGTTATCTTATTTCTCTGTTCCAGCTATTGCTCCTCTCCATAGACATATCACACAGGAGAAACTACAAGAGATCTGATCTTACAAAGTGCTGAGTGTGCGGTCATATTCCTACAGATGGGTTCTCTTTATTGACTTTGAGTGGACAGATCTCTTTTTTTTTTTTGGAAGTTTGTGAAAAACAATATTTGATCCTAGAAATGTTACAGTGTTGGCCCTAAAGTGTAACTACAGGGCAAAAATCAATGATGACATAAATGCTGAAATCTGTCATTACCACTTTAGTCCTCGGGCCTTTTTCTCCCTAAACCCCTCGAGCCCAGAGAGGTTTTTCCCCATTTTTGGCAATGTCCCAGTTCTGCGTATTTTATCTTTAGCATTTGTAGTCTACCCAAATGTATTATACTTCAAGTGGTTTGGGGGACAAATAGGGCTTTTATTCAGTAGGAATTTGAATGCTTACTTTATATTTTTTATTTCATTGGTTTTCATTAGTAATAAATTGTAATTTGAAAAAAAATAAAGGATTTCTCTGTAATTTTTCCCGATTGCAGTGTTAAGGTCATTTGTGCTTCCCCAAATTTTTAATTTCAAAATATAATCAACAAAGTCTGCTGATTAAAAATGATTTACATTAGTGGATTGTTTATGTAATTATCCACATTGTACTTTAGGAGAGCTTTATTCCCCTTGTGTTCTATACTTTGTGTATAGAAATCCCTCAGCGCAATAAACCTCCTACAAAACAAATTGTGCAGCTAGCATATAATGTGTTCCCACATGGAAACCGTAAATCACAATACAAAATGCAGCGCAGCAATATAAACTCCAATGGTGCTAACAATACAAATGTGCATATATGAAGAGTGAGAACAGAAATGGTTGTTTGTGACAATAAATATGTGCTACACCCAATATCTTCGCAATGCATACACATAAATAATCACAGACTTGCACATAACAGTGCTGAAATAAATAGAAATACCAAATAAAATGTACTCAATAGTGAACTGTCCCTTTAAATCTCAGATATCTTCACATGGCTTGTGCAGTATGTCTCCTATATATCGTGATCCAAATACACCGGCAACAAGTTGTCTCATAAATAAATCTCTCCAAACATTGGTGAACCGTCCGCTTTAAAATCCGCTGTACTCCAAGTGGATCAGTGTAATCACACTACTGCATACACTGTGTCCGGTGCTCCCGTTTGTCACCCTTAGTGTACATCCACCTCCAACACACTATTGCGCTCACTCCAGGTTTGACCCCGTAATGCCAGGTCAGACTACGCTTCTCCCTTTAACCGGGAGGGTATACACTGGTACACAGAGATCTTCACCATTGTCAGCACTTTAAAACTCTCCAAAATGCTCCACAATCATAGGAAAAACATAAATGCTCCCATATAGTGTAGTATTGCCAAGTAAAACGGACTTTATTATTAAAACAATCAAAATAAACTCACATTTAAAAGTGTTCCACCTGGGACACTGCAGGGCAAAAAACTCACTATATAGTATGTTTGTGAACAAAGTACAGGGAATCCCTTTTCCAAACATGGTGGCATGTGCACTTCCGAGTTGTGGTCTTGACATCATTGGTGTGTACCTACGCGTTACGTCCACGTGGTGGGTCTGGAAATGGTCAGTGGGGATCAGATTCCAGACCCACACACAGGCAACTGTGCAGCTTGAGGATCACCCTCTAATAAGTGATCTATTGCAGGCTGCAACCAGCATCTCTAGAGTGGATATGTAACGGAACCGACCCAGCTGCATCTGAGTACTTTCCATTACATACCGCTTCCCCCCGTGCGGACAACAACCCGACCACAGACACCACAGTTTCCGACATTACAAGGCTACACAACACCAGTCCTGAAGTAATCCAGGAGGTAGACTACTTTATTTTAACACAGATACAAGATATATACATTCAAGGAAACAACCCCCCCTCCCTGCATAAATGACACAGGGGCGGTGGCAATCTACCTTTAGTAACAGAGATACACCAGCAGACATCGTCCCATCAGGAGGGAGGGCTGCTGGAGAACACCCCCCCACCCCCACCGAAGCCAATAACACAAAACCCCCACATACATCCCATTAATAGTTTTCTCCCAAGCCAGACACAACAATAGAACAATGAGATGCAACCACCATGGCATTAACAATCAACAACCCCCCCCCCCCAATATTAGGACAGATCACCTGTACCCCTAACAGGCACAGTGTGACTTACACATAAAGAGGGATATGGGGAGCTTGAGACAGGGGTTCTCCCCACCCTCTCCAAAGTGAGTTGTGTTTTCCATGGGCCCCCCTCCCAAAGTGACTCCCGCATCACAGGATACATTGTATACAGCAAACTCTTCATAAACAGGATGGGGAAACTACATGACAAGTAAAGGGGAACCTGCATACTGGAGTCACGGATCAGATCACCATTAATGTTTTGTTTTCCAGTAAATAATAATCAGGACATACAATTCGGTGTGACAATTACCAGGACTGAGAAAGCATGCATGGCATGGAATGTGTTTCATCATCTAAACAGGGAGATACAATACGGACATTGAGGGGATAATAGTCCGATGTAAGTGCTACATCCATATTCAGGAGAAGAGAACATGGTCACAGAAAAATTGCTTCAAGAAAGTCCACCCACAACTTGGGACAAACCTCCAGTAATAAACCAATCTTCAGCGTATTCACCTCATCAATATTGTGTTGTCTGCAAAGTGTAATGCCGGAGGGTTCAAATCGGATGTTGCAGCTTGGCAGGGTGTAGCTCAGTCCTGCCATAGAGAAAGCGGACAATTTGGGCAAGTGTGTGACCAGCACTTACACTGCCTGTAACGTTCTACTTGTGTGTGGGGGAGGGTGGGGAGAGGGTGTAGGTAAAGGGGTGCACAGACCAGTGGGGGCTAAGGAAAAAAGGGGGGATCTTAAATTGTGTATAAGTACAATGATCTTATGATCTCCGTTAAGGGAGGTTTATGAGTTGAGGTCAGCCATGAAGGGGGAGGAGTCAGATAATGTCTCAATAAATATCTACACAAGTAAAATAATTGGATGTGTGAGGATCCATTATCCAGTATAATTCATCAGAGGACTGGAAGTGGATCCAGCATACCTCAGAGCTCCCCAGACAGATTGGAGCCCCCTTGGTCTCCTGCAGCCGAAATGTCTGGCGTTCCTCTTTTATACTCAGGAAGGTGGCAAAGTCTGATTATAGATAGGTGACAAATCTTATTGGCACTTAGGTGTCACTTCCAGCATGGAAAAGCTGCTCTGTCTTTTCAGATGCTAATGGGTGGGCACCCTGTCTCTGAGTACCTATGACTGAATACATCTTTAATAACAAGGAATTAAACTAAATTTCCAATTACATATTGCTACAGATCACATCTCAGCTCCTCACATCTGTACATTTATGTCACATCTCCCCTCTTCCAGACGACGCATAGCTGAGCCTAAACGGGTCGGCTAACGAGTCTACATGGAAGGTTCCCTAGGTGGGGGGTGGAAAGTTCTCCCAACTAAAGCTTGACACACCGCTGACATTTCAGCCTGTCCCCTTGCAGATAGGAGAGGGATCCTGTACAGATCTCGGAATGATCCTAAAGAGTCTGGATCACAACTGGCTAGAAGATCACCCTGTGGATCCACTGGCCACTGACTAACTACTGGAAGGGTACAGGCAAACCTGTCATTGTGTTCCGTCATCATCTTCAGCCACTGGCCAGGGTCATCTGGTGGTTCTCTATTAGCTACAACACCCAGATGTTTGAACCTGGCATAAGGTCGTTCCTGGGTGATCTGGACCTGGTCCCATGGCTTGGATACCAGAACATCCACCCTTGGGACCTGTCTCCCACACGTCTGCTCTTTGTGCTTCAGCCAGAGACTGGTCAGCACAACCCCTGAGTTCCTCTGAGCTGACATCCAACCTATCAGCCTGCGAGAATGCTGTGTTGTCAGATCCAGCCTCTGAGAGATCAGATTCAGATCGGTCAATGTTCCCCCATCATCCTGCAGACCTTCCCTTGCTGTAATCCTCAATCATGATACTCATAGCTGTGAGGACAAAGGATAAATCCACAGAAGACTTTATTCCACCAGAAGTCATCCTCTGACCCGTCCCACACCCTTCTACTCTGTCCTCCTCAGCAGGATGTCTGTCAGCACAACACCTGAGCTCCTCCGGGCCAACATCAAACCTACCAGCCTGGAAGTCCTCAGTGATGTCAGCTGCAGCTCCTGAGGTGGAAGACACTGATTGGGCTGAATTTGCCCCAACATCCTGCAGACTTCCCTCTGCAACACACAGAAATGAGTCTGCACTGGCAGCACCCACGACTGTGGTGACAGAGGGGAAAGAGACAGGAGAA